GGATGAGAGCACTGCTGTGAAAACCGGAGAAGATGGATTAACGTGATGAAGAAGGGAGCAACAAAGATCGTTCCCAACCACCAGAACTTGCGTCAAAACGATGATGAGACGTGACAAGAATCTCCCCTACCAATCTATCACCAAAGAGTGATGAGATTTTACGCAGAGAGATACGCAGCGGAACCAGGGTTTTTCGTCGCCATTCACGTCACCTCAGCCGCCAGGGAACTTAAGTCCTTACAAATTGTTAGGTATAAATTAAGTAATCTTGATGGATTTGTTTCAAACAAAAATAACAATCTTGATGGATTAGAGTATGACATGATCTCGGGCGTCTGAACCTCCGTCTTCTAACCTTTGAGTAAAACTTTTAACTTAAAAGAGAAAATTTTATATCTCATGATATGCTCAAATCTACCTAATTCTTTCTGGTTATCTACTAGGGATGCTAATGGACCATGGACCTAGCCCGTGAAAGCTTGCCGCAGGACGAGTTTGGACTGTCATTTGGTAGATCCATTTAATTGTAGGCTTTGCAGGCGTGACCTATGGCGGGATAATCTGAGGAATTTCAAAGACCCGCAACCCTGGCTCTTCATTTTTACTTCCACTTGAAAAAATAAAAGAGAGAGATGAAAAAAGGTGAATGGGCATTAAATGGTCACTGGCAGCCTCTAGAGCTCCGGTGACAGCAGTTTAAAGGTTTATTATGCTTGGTCTCCCATGTGTCTATGATCTCCACCAATGAAGCTTCTCTAAACCACCGGAAGAAGTTTCAAACTCACATTCCACCGAAGATGATGATCCAGCTTTGGCGATGTCTCGACGACGGTGACTTCATGCATGTCAGAGATAAGGAAATATCGAGCATGGTTTGTTGTCGATTTATATTCTCGGGTCTAACACACTAACTCATTATTTCAGGTGGTTTGTCTTCTTCTCCTGGAGTTTTTCTTTGATAAAAGTAACTACAACTATTGCTATGAATATCAAAAAAGAAAACCAATTATTGATGAATCATGCCCAGTTCACTTGGCGACCTAAATCATGTCCTAGAGTGGTCTGAAGTGTTCTGGAGTGGCATGAAACATCTTGTAGTCGCCTGAAGCGTCTTGTTGTGTCCATAATCACCTGTCATGTAGGCCGACCCGCAAAAGCTTACATGTTTTGCGGTACGGGTTTGGTTAGCCATTCGTAAACCACAACCGGCACGGATCTGATCCGCTCGACGACAATCCGCTGCGGTACATGACGAGACAAAACAACTTATTTGCCATCCCTATTATCTACTATATATCCAAGGTTAAAACTCTGAGTCTAGACATTCGATACAACTTTTATGAATCAAACAAATATAGCTAGGTTTTAACCAACTATGTTGTATGCTTACGATGATTGAAAACAAAGATGATAAAGATGATCAACAAAAAAAATGATCAAACCACGGTTGCCACGATCAACGCCGACTCGGAAGCTCGGCTCGAAGCCTTGAAAAAGCAATTCAAGGAGATAAACTCATCTAGGAGAAACAACAACAAAACTGGGTGATCCGGAAATTGAGCGGATGGAAGGATACACTATACATCTGGAAGAAAGTTCCCATAGACTATTCTAGGATACATTGCATTGTTAATGTTTCAAGAAAACAATAAATAATATAGTTATTTCAAAAGAGCATTACATCTCTTTCGACCTACTTCCCGAATATATCTTTAAACCAGAATATGAATTTTTTTGTTTTTGTTTTGGAAGAGTAAGAAAGTAGGTCGTTCAGAATATGTCTTTAACTATCCATGAATTCTATAGTATATTTGGAAGAGTAGAAATGAATTAACAGAATAAAAATCACCAATGGATACCCCCTCTAACTTGTTTTCCTTGAAGAAGAAAGATTGAGAATTGCCTATCACAAAGAAGTGGTGGAAGATATGGAATGCTATATTCTAAAGGAAGAATATATATTTCCCCCACCACATCTTCAATTCCGACCAGCCAAGTCGCTGTCTTTTGGCTTAATTCTAGACAAGTAACCACGCGTCTGTGGTCGGGTGGTCAAGGCGTTCCGTAGATCCCCAAGGGACTCGAATTCGAATCGGCACCGCACCAGATTTTCATGCGTGTGGCCACCCAAACTTTCACGTTCTCTCTCCGGGAATGGTTTACCATTTTTTTTTAATTCTGGACAAGTCAGTGAACTTTGATGTGTCTAAGGGATAACATGGGTGATAATATTTTTGGTTGGAAGGGATGCCAGAGAAGCCTATCAGCATTACATACAGAGATTGTGAATCTCATTTGGGCTATGACATACTGAAGAGAGAGGCATATTCATACAGCCATCTTTGAAACAGATTACGCGGACTTATCCAAGATGACTAAAGAACCAATATATTGGCCAAACTTCAAAGCGGAAATGTAGGAGTTCACCCAACTTAAGAATAAATTTTTTATACTTTCAGCTTATGTAAATTCTCATTTCCTTTTACCACTCTCGATTTCCTTAATAGCTATCTCATTTTTAGCTAGTACCCATCTTGAACTCTAACTTCTTTCAGACCTCGTGCACTTTTGTTTCCATTGTCTTATGTGCAAAATTTTTAGAGAGATATGGATCACCGCAGCAGCAACAAGGGATAGGAAACAAGGAAAATTGACAAATACCAGCACGAGTAATGACTAATGTTTGTACCGAGTTTGGTCGTTTATCAGTAAGAGAGTGACAGGACTCGTCGGTGGATTAATGCAAAGGCGTCTTGCTACTTACGAGTAAAAGAGTAGGTTTATTAAGGAGAAAGTTGGTGTACAAATAAGAAAACGAATGAGACGAGACGGTGTTACTCGGTGAGTTAGCTGGGGAAGTACAAGTCGGAAAGATACAGAGGAAAAAAAACCTAGTTCTAGCCGCCTTGTGAGTGAGTGCTCCATTTCAGATCCCCTTTCTGGCTGCCACCTCTTTTCCTTTTATAGTGATATCTCTCTACTCTAAATGACCTAGGTCGGCGCCTCTTCAGAGGCCTCTCGCTGATGGGCTTCTGGTTTCATGAGGTGTAGGTCGGTTCCCATCTTTTCGAGGGTTTTTTGGAAGATAAGATCGACCGAGCTGCCGGTGTCAATCAACACTTTGGTGACTTCGCATTCGCCGAGGCCCAGTTCGATGAGCAACGGGTCGTTGTGTGGCATATGTACTCCGATAGCATCGTCCGCCAAGAAAGAGATCGTAGGATCATTCTCAGGTTTAGATGGCCATCACTGCGAAGTTTTCGCTTGGCTTTGGTGGGCCTTGACCAACCGAACTGAATCACCGCATGGAGGAGATCCTCCCATGATCACATTTGCTCTCCTACTCTGGATTTGCGAGCGCAAGTCTTTGGGCGAGTACGCGACGTTCGGCTGCTACGCACGGCAGTCTTTTGCCACCTCAAGCTGTTGTCGTAAGTCCAAGCTTTTTTGGCTTGTTGAGTTTGATGCGAAGATTGTCAACCTTTGATTTCAAGTGATCCCGTAAGTCAACGCTGTTGGGGCGTAGGTCGCGTTCGTCTGGAGCGTCCATTTGTTCGGCTCGTCTGGCTTTAGGAGCGCTGACCGTTTTTTATATCTCGGTAGAGTCCGAGAGTGTTTGCATCACGATGTTCTTTCGCTTAAGCTTATATCATAGGTCTACGGGACTTAGGTTGTTCCTTTCAGTGAGGTATGTGCGTAGGGTTCCTAGGGCAGATTCTGCCTCCTCATCGTTACTCGGACTCATCTTTTGTTGACGCTACTTTGTTATGCCCTACGGTGGGCGCCAACTGTTTGAACCGAGTTCGGTCGTTTATCAGTAAGAAGTGACAAGACTCGTCGGTGGGTTATTTCAAAGGCGTCTTGCTACTTATGAGTAAAATTGTAGGTTTATTAATGAGAAAGTTGGTGTACAAATAAGAAAACAAATGAAATGAGACGGCGTTAGTCGGTGAGTTAGCTGGGGAAGTACAATCGGAAAGATACAGAGAGAAAAAGCCCTAGTTCTAGCCGCATTGTGAGTGAATGCTCCATTTCAGATCTTCTTTCTCGCTGCCTCCTCTCTCTCTCTTTTATAGTGATCTCTCTCTACTTTAAATGACTTAGGTCGGCGCCTCTTCAGAGGCCTCTCGTTGATGGACTTCTGGGCCGGCCCGTTAACATGAATTCTCATTCGACTGTTTTTAGTCGTTTAGTCGTCAAGACGACTAGACTTGAGCTGAACCGAGACGCGATCGGCTGATGGACCGACTTGGATTGTTTCTATATGGACTGAGCCTGCTATTTGATGGGCTTTATGGGATAGAGTAATCTACCTCCTACAACTAAGGCATTGGTTCACTCTTCACACCAAAATATTTGGGAAAAAACATTGAAAAGGTCCTTGTGAAGAGTGAAACTAGCAAAGAAAGTTGTATCACTTAGAACTAAAGAGTCCATGGAAAGAAGAAAAATTAAGAGGAGAGAGTAGTTAGCGAATGTGGACATCTAGGAATCCATTATATCTTTGTCATTTTATGTGATTCCTTTAGGCAAAATCGGAGAAACCTTATCAGATAACAAACGCTTCAACCCAGGACACCCGCATAATCGAATGTATATCATACCCATGACACAGCCTCACTCTGGTACAAGAATTATATTGAGATAAAACAATGTTTACAAACTGAGAGATAGTGGAGTATGAATAATCTAATTTCTGGATAGAGTGGTTCTCTAATTCTTTCACACCTTTTATTGAATGAGAGTGAAGTTTCAACTCGAGACATTGCTTTTTTAAAAGAATCTCGAGGCGTGATCAAGAAAGTAATGATCAAACCGAGAGAAACTACGTTGATAGAACATAGCCAAAGAGAGAATTGTTATCCAATGAAAGAATGATTTAGAATTTGACATAATTAACGTCTATCTATAGAATTTCAGACTAACCATCAGATTATACAACACTTAAGCGGCCACAGGTGAATCAATCTCACCGTCTGGTTCCACTTCAGCCAGGTCAGTCATCCTCTGTTCACAGACACGTTGATTCTCCACAACAGCATCTTGCTTTCCATTGTCATGCCTTTGATTAGGTAGAGTCTCTGAAGCAGAGCTTTGATCAATTCATATTCGTTCTCACCAAACCATTCCTTTTGTTTCTTCACATTGATTTCCAAATCTCTGAAAGCTCTCCTCACAAGCCCAAGTTCCATTTTTCTTTCCACAAGCTCTCTCACTGAATCCACCATCTTATCTGTAATCTCCTCCGCAGCAGAAGTTTCCGTCTCTACCAATTGAATGATGGCACAGAAGGCACCCAAAAACGCCAAGACCCAGCAACTGTTATCTACCAACACCTCTCTCGGTGGGTTTAGCCTTTTGTTTATCTCTGGGAGAAGAAACTTCACTATAGGAACCATAAACTCATCATCAAGCCACATTGTTAAGCACTGAAAGATATAAACCGCTCTCTCAAACTCTGTTTTGCTGTTCGATCCAATAGAGTCGGAAAGATCGTACCATGCCTCAAAATAGAAGGTCGTCATCTCATACGAAACATGGTAGACAACCTCACCAAGGACTTTGAACATGCTCTCCGAGATCCCTTCTTTTTCCCAAAGGCAAAAGATGAGCAAATTCTGTAGTTCTCTCAACACTGAAATGTCTGTTGCTTCTTTCCTTGACATGCGATCAGAGAGTAAAAGCTTGAGCTGTCTAATTGCCAATTCTCTAAACCTCTCTTCAACATCAGTGGATGCAAAGATTTTTAACATCTCAAGTGGCTGTAACTTGTTCAAACGATCAAGCCATTCACGTTCAGAAACTGCTCCATGAACCTGTAGTGGTTTTTGTTGTTTTAGGGGAGAATTAGATGGGGTGGTAAACTTTACCAAACGATGGATCTTCCCCGTAGCCTCCATTGTTAGCGATCCCAAATCTCTAATCTTGTACAAGAAAGAGGACACAAAGTTACATTGCTCCTTATTGTAATTATACATTCTCTTGTCTCGTGCCAAGAACATCTCGAGATCTGCAAGCCCTCGTACCAGAAACTCTTCCATGCCCTTCTCCACAAGATCAGTCGCTGCCTTGACAAGAAGCATAAGCAAACCCTTCGCCAGACCAAATCTCATATCAGAATCCATATGCTGAATCCCAAGTTTAACAATAGCTTGTAAACCCAAGCTCCAATCTTCGACTCTGTCTTGATCAGGCATAAGCAACACCGTCTCTGCTTTCTTTACAATCATCCCGCAACAATTGTATATGAATCTCCCGTACACTGGAGGCAAGTCAGCGAAGATGTGTAAAGCCTTTAGAGTATCGGTACTCGAGAGCTCGACGATACATTCGCTGAGCTCGTCCCACCCGCCGTTATCTAGCATCACAACGTCGTGAGCGATGAAAGACACGATTTGTCTGAGGAGTTTGATTTCTGCTTCTTGCATCCTCAAGCAAGAGATCACAAGGTGTTTGATTTCGTTGAGAGCCACGAGAGATAGTTCGAACCTGCGGGATTTATAAGCGGCTAGGGTTTCGGAGAGGACAACGATCGATTTGGATCTGAGGACGCCGTTGGAAGAAGAAAGATACATTTGCAGAAGCTTAAGGGTTAAGCAGTTAGCGAAGTTATGGGTGCAGAAGATGAACAGAGGAAGCGCCGTTTGATATTCGGTGGTTTCTTGACGCGTTGAGAGATGAGCGACAAGACTCTCTAACGGTTCGTGGCTTGGAGTCGCAAGAAGTTCTCTTGCTTTCGCCATGAGATTCGGTGGCTCCGCCATTACACGCCCCATTGCACCTTGTGCGTATTCTCTGTTCAAGATCACTATAAGAGTTTGTTAATGTTTTTTTCTAGAGTGCTACGCACGGATCATTTTTTTTTCTTCTTGAGAAACATTTGAAAAATACCTTAATTTTGTAATAATTAAAAAAAATCTCATGCTTAGGTGTCACTCAATTAGGTAGTCAATTACATTCAACTAGGTGTTTTGCCCGCATATGCGGACTTAATTATCTTTAAATTAATTTTAAAAAATTATTAAAATAAATGATTATTTGCATCCAAAAAATTCGACCTAAAACATTAAACTTTTTTTACATGATAAAGTTGTTCATAAATAAAAAAATATCTATTTTTTCCTTTAAAACTTAGGCACCGATTGGTGTTTGGGCTTTGAGGGATTTGTGGTTGTGTAAAGCCACTAAAGCCAAATATTTGCCAATCACTTCTTTTAGGCTTTAGAAATTTGTAAAGTCCTAAAAGTCCATTTTAAAAAAAAACTGTTTTTTTGTTCTTTTTTTTCTACAGCCACTTTTTGAGACTTTACAACACATTTTTTTTCTTCCTATGGTTAAAAAACGTGATTTATTTTTTTATTTTTACTTTTTGCTCATTTCTTACTAAAATAAAAGAAATAATAAGTATAATGATTAATAAATTCATTTTATTAGTTAGTTTAAGTTTTACCACCAAAAAAAAGTCATACCTTACTATTAATAGACTATTAATTTGTTGAAGACTACAAAATATAACTAATTGAAAACATTTAGGATAGATTCAAATAGTATAATAAATTGAAAGAAAAATAAATACAATGATTTATAAATTCATTTTCATTAGTTAGTTTACATTTTACCATAAAAAAAAATCATACCTTACTATAAATAAACTATTAATTTGTTAAAGACTAAAAAATTTTGTATAAATAATTGAAAACATTTACGAAAGATTCAAAAAAAAAAATAATTGAAAGAAAAAATAAATACAATGATTTATAAATTCATTTTCATTAGTTAAATTAGGTTTTACCAACAAAAAAAAGTCATAAGAAAATGAAAACGAACAAACGACAAATGAAGAAGAACTTCCGAATACGATGGACCAAGATCTCAGTTCAGACAATACATTGAAGGTGTTCGAGATGAGATTGCAAGCATCATAGGGGCTAGAACCCGTTAATTTTTTAATAATTTTTTGTTTTAACTAATAAATTGTAATTTTATTTTAAATTTAATTTTTATTTAGTTAATAAATTATTATCTTATTTAAAATTTAATAAAAATAATTTTTTGATTACAATTTCAAATTTTTACAATAAAGAAATAAAATATATTGTTGATAAATTTGATTGATTTTCTGTTTTTAAGATATCCAATATATTTTATAAACGTGTATAAATAAAAAATAGGTAATAAATTTTGAAAAATGAATTATAAACATATATTTATAACAGTCACAGCTTCTAAAGCTTTGAGTACCAATCATGCTTTTAACTTTCTCTAAAGTAACAGTTACAGTCTTTAAAGCCAAAATCTCTACAGCCACAATTCTAAAGTCAAAGCCTAAAGCGAAAATCATTACCAATCGGACCCTTAGAAAAATATAAAGTCTATTTCATTTCTTCTTAATTGATACAAAATATAGAAATCTATCTTTCAATTTAAAAAATTGAATCGATAAATATACATTCAAAAATTGATCTTACAGAAAGAATAATATTAGTTTGAATAATAATACAATATATTTAAATTTATTTTTGTCAAACACGTATTTTATTTATTTTTGAATGATCTATAGATTTATTATGATTAATTCATGTTCAAGGTTTAACTTTAGGGGAAATTGCCAAAACCAACCCAAATATTCATTTTAGCCCTAAAGATGTGCCACATATTCAATCAATTGCAAACCCAACCTAAATGGGTGTTAAAATTACTATTTAACCCTTATGAACAAACACAAAACGCAGAATATGTTTTACGATTTTGTCCTTCGTAGGTCTAGACTTTAAGAAAGAAGTCTACAACTAGGTAGACTTACATTAACGTCTACTGTGTAGACTAATGTAGACTTATTATTTAGTCTACATCTTAATTTAATCAAATAATTTAATTTCAAAAATGTAGAAAAAATGTTTTTGGTAATTTTTTTAATAAATTATCAATTTAAAGGTTAGTATGAGGTATATAAATTAAATTTTCATATAATTGAACAATTTAAAAGAATGTATATTGATTTGGGAACTATGTGGTAGACAATGTTAATGGTTTAGCAACCAAAGGTTCTAGCATGTTATGTCTTTTAGAGTTAGATTCTTAGGGTTAGATTCTAGATTTAGAATGATTTTGTTTTAATGATTCAAAATTACATATTTAATGTTGAGTAGTTTATATTTTGTATATATGATATTTGGTACAATGACTAAGATTTTCTTATAATCAATCAAACGTTTAGGGTTTGAGATTTGGGGTTTAGGGTTTGAGATTTCTGGTTTAGGGTATAGTAGACTTACAGTTAAGTCTACTTATATGTAGACGTCTATTTCAGTCTACGTTAATTTGTGTTTACCAAAATAAATTATTTTAAAATTAAAATTAATTAAGCGGGAAGTGAAAATGAATTTTGGAGCCTATTTTTCCATATTGGCGCCAATATTTAGGATATAGTAGACTTACAGTAAAGTCTACTTATATGTAGACGTCTATTTCAGTCTACATTAATTGGTGTTTATCAAAAAAAAATATTTTAAAACTAAAATTAACTAAGCGGGAAGCGAAAATAAATTTTGGGGCCTATTTTTCCCTATTGGCGCCAATACTTACGGTCAAGTCTACTTCGATAGTATATGTCTCTCTTAGTTTAGTATAATTGGTGATTACAAAAAAAAAATTATTTTAAAATTAAATTTATTTATTTATGAATTGAAATGTGAATTTAAATCTTATCAACAAAAATATATACTAAGTTTACTAAATATATAATGAAAAGAAAAATTTTAGATTATATATTATAAACTATTTAAAAAATAAAGAAAAATATTATAGTAGACTTCTTTGGAAGTCTACATAACCTAAAGTTTTAACCAAAATAATTTTAACCAAACCAAAATAATTTTAACCAAACCAAAATTAAACCAAAGAGTTTAAACCTAACCAGAAAAATAACTTAACATATAAATACTCTTTATTGTTAAAAAAAAAGGGGCAGACAAAAAAAAAACAAGCCGCCTCTTTCTTTCTCTTGCGATTCCTCTCATCCTTCTTCTCCGGCGAAAGCTTCAGATCTCAGTTAATTTTTCAGAGTGCGAAGAGGCAAGCTGTTGTTAATCCAGAGAACACTTTCTTCTCGGTGAAGGGGTTTTTTGGTAGGACAATGAACGAGGTAGACAAGGAAGCTAAGCAGGTTTCTCATAGAGTTATTGAGGATGAGAAGGGGAACGTCAAGCTTGAGTGTCCTGCTATTGGCAAACAGTTTTCTGCTGAGGAAATCTCAGCTCAGGTAATCCAAAAAGTTTTGAGACTTTTTTACTATCGTTTACGTTTGTTGAAAGCGAGTTTGGTTTCTTTCTATTTTTATGTGTGTGTGTTGTAGGTTTTGAGGAAGCTTGTGGATGATGCGTCGAGATTCTTGGACGAGAAAGTGACCACCTGGCCATACGGCGAGTCAGTAGATTTTCCGACCGGTCGTTGGTCTGACGGCAACATTGTCCCAGACTTTGTCGGTATAAAACATATATAACACAAGTACATGCAAGTCTTGTACTTATTTTTTTTTAAAATAACGTTCTTGTAACTGAGTATGATGTAACTCCAACTAGGTCGGTTGATTGGTAATCAAGAACCGGTACCTCCGGTTCTTGATCCTAAAGCCGATCTTTCACGTGGAGCAAGCTTTGCCATTTCTGGAGCAACTGTTCTTGGATCTCCATCTGACACTGTAAGCTTTGTCTTTTTTCGCTTTTGTATAAAATGGATCTGTAGTGAACTTCTTGGTTTCATTTTACAAAAAAAAATGAACTTCTTGTTTTGTCGTTTACGAAGATGAGTTTTGGGCAACAGATAACGAAGTTTATAGAGTTACATAAGAAATGGAGCGATAAAGAACGAGCAGAAGCTATATACATGATCAACATTGGAGCTGATGATTATTTAAATTTCGCTAAGGCTCATCCAAATGCTAATCTTGTGGAGCAGATTTCATTTGTTGCAAATGTTCTTCAAAAGTTATCCAGAGAATTAATGGTATGTAGGTTTCTTCAATAGTTACTGGACGGTTTAGATCTGGTCCGGTTTAGATTTTATTTCGTAGTGGGAATTTATTATTGAACCGGGAAATGGTTTTCGGTGATATGCAGAGTTTGTACAAGTCAGGTGGTGCGAGGAAGTTTGGGGCCACTTCCAAGCTTAAATAAATGGAGCGACCAGACCAGCTTAGTCTGCTTCTAGACACCCACTTCCAAGCTTAGCTGCTGTAATGAGTGCACCAGAGATACGTAACATGCCTCTTCTCCATCCACAAAGGCCCAATGGAACTTTATGGTGAGTTCAGTGTTCAGCTATTTGTTTGTTGTTTGAGTTATTTTTAAAGTTCTGTCTTTGAGTTATTTTTAAAGTTCTGTCTTTGAGTTATTAGTTCAGACAGGAACTAAGGATAAAGGTGATTAGTTGATTAGGTCTGTTAGAAACGATTGTTTCCTTTTTGTATTAGGTTTTTGATTAATATGTTAAGATTTTTTTTTATGAGTTCAGACATTAATCTTGTACTAGGTTTAAGTATAAGGGCTATTGTATTCCTTTTTATGAGTGCAGACAGTTAAGGCTGGTGGAGTAGCACCTCCAGTCACTGAAGTATTGCGTATGACACATACTCGTGCGCATTCTTTTGATGAGAAATTCCATTACAAGATGGCATTATATCACAGTCGGTGGGAGCATTCTTGCATGGCTCGTTTTTGCTTTCATATATTGTGGCATTACGACACCACGTGATAGGAATGTAAGCTCTTTCCACACATCCCTGTCCTTTCCTTTTGATTATATGATTTTGGGTCTTCTGATTTCTTTCTTTTCTTGTCTCTGCAGGAAAATGTCTATTTTGTGATACATGTCATGATGAGTACATTCTATTTCTACTTCACATTGCTGCTTGTTCCCGTTGTCTCTCTTCTATGTGATTTCATCTTCCAAGGGTAAGTAAAACCATGATATAATCAGTTTCAGCTACTTTTTTTAGTACTGTCTGACATGTGGTTATTTTACACAAGATCACTGAAACAGAGCGTACACAGGAAGTTTTCTAATGATTATGACATAAGAGAATCTATATGCTTTTACTGATGCAGGGTGGAGAGATGGTTCTTCCCATATGATTATCAGATCGTTCAAGAAATACATGGGCACGAGTCAGATGCAAGCAAGGCTGATCACCTGGAGATAGAGAACGAGCTCACACCTCAAGAAGCGAGAAGCTATGCGATATCCCAATTGCCACGGGAGCTCTAAAAACACATTGGGTTTGTAACTAGCTTGAAGGATGATGTTTCTGGTGTGAAGGGCGATGTAAGTGGTATTAAGCGAGGCTTAGAGGTTCTGATGAAGATGAATGGAATGGAGTTTAAAATAAACCAAAAAAACAAAGCCACGGATAAGAACATCAAAATTTGTGGCAATTTGTAAAATATAACAACAAATGTCCACTTAATTGGCTTTAGAAGCCACAAATACAACAACTGTGGTTATTTTGTCTCCAAATTTTTTCAAAACGTTTTGTTGATATCTGTAGAAATAAAGCCACTATTTAAAGGGTTACAAGTTGTGGCTAATAAAACCACAAAATTGTTGTAGCTATATGTAGAATATTTCTACAGCTCAATGATGTGACTTTTTGTAGCTAAAAGCGCACCGAATCAGAATTAGCTTATTTGCAGCTATTGGCCACAAAAATCGTTTGTGGCTAAGTCGTAACACACGTCTAGGTGTCAACACAAGCTATGAGCTCTTAGGTAGACAGGGAAAAGAACCGTTAACACACGTCGCGTACCGTAGCACCATCAGACAAGGTGTTTTCTTTATAACATCAAACATGACGCGGAAATGTTAAACTGTTTGTTAAAATTATACCGTAGACTTACCAGTACGTCTACGATTATTAGCTAACAACATAGACAAACCAAAATTTGATAACTTCCTAATTATAAAAGATTATCTTCTGAAAATCATTCAAGACCCTTATGATTAACTAACACACACTTTCATAAAAACTTTTTTTGAAAAAACTTAATGAATAATACACAAATCCACTTTTGATAGATTTTACAAGGTAGACTACATATTCAGTCTACACACGGGTAGACGTTTTATTCAGTTTACATTTTGTAGACTGAACATTAGGTCTACGTTTAGGTTGGTTTCTGCAATTGCCAAATTCACGGGTTACTTTCTGTATTTGAAAAAAAATGTGATTTTATACGAGTAGACTTACCTTTTAGTCTACATTTTTTAAAAGGTTAGTTTTGCAATTGACCAGAATTCGATCAGAGTTTGACTTTTAGAAGTAGACCTATTATGCAGTCTACATTTTTAAATTTGTTTGAAAGAGGTTAGTTTTGCAATTGACCAAAGTTGACTTTCTACGAGTAGACAAAACTAAATGTCTACGTAACTGTAGACTGCAGTAAAAGTCTACATTATAACTCGACATATTAGTTTTGCAATTGACCAACATAAAATAGTAGACTTCTTATGCAGTCTACTTTTTTTTTTCTAAGTTTTGTAGACTGCATATGAAGTCTACACGTAAAGTAAGTTTTTTTCAAAGTTTTGTAGACTGCATATGAAGTCTACACGTAAAGTAAGTTTTAGTCAAATACAAAAGAAACCTATTCATCGAAGTCAAAGTTTTGGTCAAATGCAAAACTGACCTTCCGTAGACTTACCTAGCAGTCTACAAAGTGTAGACCTCCACGAAAGTCTATTATGGTAAGTCAAAATTTTGGTCAAATGCAAATCTAACCTGTTTTATGTAGATTTCTTAGTAAGTCTACCAATTTTTTTGATTTTGGTTTCAAAGGTAAAGATGTTGACGTACTTGTAGGTCTACATTACAAAAAAAATTATTTTGGTCAATTGCAAAAGTAACCTGTGCGTTGACAAGTAGACTGCATCGTAAGTCTACACGTATGTGTAGACATATAATACAGTCTACTTTCGCGATACAGATCAGAGATATGACGAAAAGCATGTAAAGAGTTACCT